GTGGGGAAGTATTAAGAACATAGCAAAACCATTTATACAGACAAGGATTATATTCTGCTGAATCTGTCAGAGTTTAGGAGGAGAGTGGCAAAGAGAAACAGCCCCTTTTTACCTAAATATTTTGCTAGGATGTTTTAACAAACCACAGTCCTGGGAGGAAAAAAAAAAAAAGTTAGGTCAGAAATGATACATCAGCAGATAGATGCTCGTTGGGGTTTTTCCTTAAGCTCTCAGACCCTGTTTTGATTAGAACATAATGAAGAGTGTATTCATTAGATGGTCCAGCTAATTAATATAAAATTCATGGAAACCCTGGATTCTCAGTTAAACATGCATGAAATCAGTGTTGCGTTCTCTATATTGCACTTCATACTTTTTGCTTAGCAGGTGTTAACAAATACAATCTCATCAACCTCAAGTATAATGAAATGAGTCTTGTTCAACTTAATAATTTTAGCAGCCCAATTGTTGCTTGATACGTATCTTTCTTTTACGAGACATTAGGGCAGAAGATGAGATTGTAAGCTTGTGAATAGAAAGATGCGTGCTTTTCTCCAAAATAATTAATGTCACTGTTAAATTGTCTGGTAATCTTCATTTCTTCTCAAGATGAATTGGAATATCATATTAATAAGCAAATATGATAATCCTTGCTAGTTTTTATCACTGTGGATTTTTTTAATTACTGTAACTAAAGGCGTAGAACATTATTATTTTAGTAACAAACTGAAATACTTCCGTATGAACCCCCTTCTCTATTCTATTTCAGTCCATTTTGTAGCATAGCATTTAAGTTATACTTCAATACACCAAGAAATTACTAGGTAAATTCACACTTAAGTATTGTTTTGAAATCAAGTATCATTTCGTGTAGTCAGGACATATCCTGCATGCTTCTGTGGTGGAAGGCCACTGAAATCAATGCGAGTTTTACTCTTCTACTGAATGTGCCTCATGCCAAACTATCCCTGAATGCTTTTGAAAATCTTCCCGTACAAGCTACTTCAAAGGCAAACTGCTTCTATTTAGGTAATTCAGATTGCACCCACTTAATTGATTTCAACTGACAACAGTGTTCAGCAAGAAACAAGTCTCTTATCACATAGAAATCTTACATTTTTTTTAACAAAAAGTTTCACTTTATTTACATTTTTAATGTAGTTTGTGGAGGCCAACATTTGGAGGAAAACAAAGTCACAGTGGAAGAGGATGTAAACCTCATTTAATAACGACACACACAAAAAAGAAAACTGGACATGTTGGCCCTTCGTTACACAAACTGTTAGCAAAAGTTGGAAACTAGCTCATACTGGGAGCTCCTGCACTTTTGTTGTGGTGGCTGCCTCCAGCCTTTGTAATACCAATTGTAATGTAAAGCTTTCCATAGATGTTTTCCCTGCCCGTTCACTGTAGCACTCTGATCAGGTGTCCTTCTAGCATGAATGGGGCAGTTGACATTGCAATCTATAGGAGAAATGGAAAGGTTTCACTGTTCATTGTATGGTGCATACACTGAGGTCTCTCTCTGCACTCACATACACAGGGATAGCTCATGGTGTGCCAATGTGTGACTGTCGCCACACTAGCACTATAACTGTGTGCTTTTCAGCCATGGAGGACTTATTATCATATCTAAAAGTTCTGCAATCCTAATTTCTGTTTTGAGTACTACCTGCAAAGATGTTTTGGTATGTATTTGAAGAAAATCACTAGCAGGTAATTCAAATACTAGGTTAAGATTACTTAATGTAATATTGCACCTGCTTAACATGAAGTAAGTGAAGAAGCAAAACCACAGAATCCATAAAGTTTAGCAACACATTGTGCTTTTAGATAGCCAAAGTTCTCACTTATATTTGTAAGCAACTGGACTGAGATATAAAGAAAATGTGAGTGGAAAATTCGTAAAAATACCGTTCAGAGACTGACGCGAATTTTTATTTGAAGATGTAGAAGTGTACAACCGTGTATTTATACTCCAAGATCACCCCTTGGAAACGTCCACCTTAGCTTTGGTTGCCAGTACTAAATAAACTCAATAGGCAATTGGCACCAAATGGGTGGGGGGTGGAAATAAGAATAACCATTAATGCACTGATCGTATTTGGTCTCGATCAGTATTGAAGAACTGAAGCACCGTAGGCTTGGCTCTACACGGCCGAGGGCATCCCCTTTCCTGCCTTAGTACAAGCCTGGCTGAAACAGGACCTAGGACGTGAGTTAGGATTTGGAAAACATTGTATGTCTTATGAGGTGAGGCTTGCTGCAAACGGTTTCTGTGTATGCCTTGCTCTTTGGTACCTCCTCACAGCAGTAATGCTGAGGCTGCAGAAGACGCAACCAAGCGCTGTCGGTTCTGTTAAAGTAGTACATGGTCTCCTGAAAGGAGGGGTTTTCAGGGAGCATCTCCGTGTTGGAAATAAACTCTCATAGGCTGGATGAAGTTTCCTAAGATCTTTTAAATCTCTGACTGCCGCTTTCCCTGTAAGAGATGCTTTGAAGAGCAGTGGAACCATCTCTTCTTTGCACTCAGACTTGGACTTAATTAAAATGCAAAACAAGTCTGCAAACTATGGGTCAAATAAGAAGGAGGTTAGGTATGGCACAAACCTAGTAAGGCATCTATCAAAGCACCATCCCAAGGCTTTTCCTTCCCACAGTGTCTGCAAAGCTTTCTGTTTCATTCTTCTTAAAGATGCTCAGTACTGGGAGATTCCATAATCCTCCCTAGGCAGCTCAGTACTTAATGTGATCCTTACCAGTTTCCAAACATCTAAGCTGAACCTTTTGTGTTGTAATTTAAATTGTATTTCTTCTTATCCTACCACATGGGCAGCAAGTTGCTCCTTTTCTTTTTTGCAGCTGCTGTTTATGTACCTGAAGGCTGTGACTCCGCCAGCCTTCTCCAGGCCATAAAATCCCAGTCCTTCCTCTCTTTCCTTGTACGGCCTGTTTTTCCAAAGTGCTGATTATTCCTATTGTCCTGATCTAGACTCCTCCAACAAGTCCAACTCTTTTCTGGAAACATGGAAACTTCACACTCTATTCCAGCAGAAGTCTTTATTGGTGCTGAGTACTGGAAAGATGACTTGTGTTTTGCAGACTATGCTGCTGTCTATAACCTCCCAGTGGGATATTTGCTTTTATTGCAACAGCATGACGTTGTTAACTTGTGTCAGTGTGTAAACTGCTATAACTTCTAGGTCTTTGTCTGAAGAAAATATGTTCCTCAGCCAGTCCTTGTGAAGCTTGTAATTGCTGCTGAACTTTTTTAAGATTTTGTTTTTCCCCGACTTGTTGAATTGTATATTATCGCTTCCCTCATTTGTCAAGCTTGTTTTGAATTTGAATCCCCCTTACAACCCTCTTGCAGTTCTTTCCACCTTTGTGCCAAAGTCTGCAAATTTAATAAACAAAATCTCTAGTTCATCACCGGATCATTAAGGAAAACACTGAATAGTGCAAAACGAAGTCAGTCTCCTGTGCAACACTACTCAATTTATCCTTTGAGTTTTCACAGTGAAACTCCGGTAATTACTTTGCGAGTGTCGTTTCCTGACAAGTTCCGAGCGCTGTTAGAGCAGGAGGGTCCTGCTGAGAACGTGCCGGTCTGTTAAGTGGTGATCGAGGGAAACTCTGAAGTAATTGCTTCATGTGAGACCTATAAATCGTCTGTTTTTCAGAGGGAACTTTAAGAAATGTTTAGGCATTGAAATTCCTCAGTATGGTGATGTTTTCAAAACTGGAGGTAGGCAGGCTAGTTTGTATTGTGTGCCGGACTATACACATGTCATTTGTGAGACCGGCTCGTTGAGATTTTTTTGTTGTTATACTTAATGGCTATATACCTTTTACACCAATAAAAAAATAAATTCTAATAAAATATCTTTGGGCTCCTCCAGTTCCTACTGAAAGTGGCAGAATTTCCAGTGTTTTCAAGGAAAGCAAGCTACTGTTTGATGAATACCTTCTTCTTTGAATAAATGTTGACAGATATTATTCAGCCAGATATAGAACTGAACAAATAATGCAAAACATTATTACAGATGGATAATTTATTTGATGAATAGCAGCTTTGTTTGACAAATAATATTGGCCTATCTCTATGACTGGCTACAAAAGATGGTATTGCCACATAAAAATATCACATCAGTCATCTGTATTGATATTTCATGTAAATTACAAGTGAAGGCTTTTCAGATACCCCAATCATAGAAGACAGCCACTCCTCTCTAAATATATGGGAGCACTCAGTACACTTTGGGTCAAGTTCAAACCTGGTAAAAGTGAATACGTTAGGAGATGAAAGTTGATAACACCAGACTGGAACTTTTAAGGCAACCTAGATTGTGTCCGCTGTCTTTAAAATCACTTAAATTATATGTTCAATATGCAGTCAGAGTGCAGTTTGGCATAATATTGTGAGGAAGACAAATATCCATAGTAAACGAAGCCTGTGCTTTTGATTTAAAATAATAAAAAAAGAAAAAGAAAGAAGAAATAGAAGGAAAAGAAGTATTTTCTTTAAAAGCACAGCTTGGAAAGGGAAGTTGCTACTTGAATTTTCATCACAGGTCAACCACCGCATTATATCCTGGCACTTATGTTTAAGCTTCTGCACTGTACTTGCTTTGCAGAAAGTGTTTTGCACTGTAGCTGGAAGGCACTGAGTCAACAGAAAATCCCCATAAGGCTTTACCTCAAAGTCGCTTTATCCTGCTGTTCTGGACAGAAAACAAAATCTTCTACTATTAAAAGCTGTATTTTAAAAACTGGGCTCCAAAAGGAATGAAAATATGACCCTATGCTGGATAAAAGACGTCAGGCATGTGTGTTAAACAGCGTATTTCTCTTTGTGTGGACAACACTAGCATTCAGTCAGATTTACGCCCAGAAATCCATGACATCTCTGTAAAGCAATCTGTGGGCACTACTTGGCTCTTCCCTCTTGGGTTGAGCCCTCTTGTTCCTTGGAGTGTGGATCCTAGCAGGGATCGACTATGGAGATGCCACTGTGGACTGCAGAGGATGAGGAAGAGTGTCCTCTCGGTCCAGCCTTCCCTTCTGGGTCCCGTGGCAGTCAGGAGCCGGTCTGTCTGTCATTCCTTGCAGCACGCGGATGAGAATGTTTAACACGGTTAATGTTTAATAAGGACAAGTGTAAGGAATGCTTAACAGTGCAAAGCTTGACTAGACTTGAATAAAAATTTCTCCTCATTTGTACAGGGGGCAGGATTTCTGCATGACTTGGTTTTGTTGTCACAGGAAATGACAGAGCTCGGTGCATATTAGCTATGATCTTCACCTAAGTAAACCTGAAATAATGTCTCACTGAATTGTGTCGGTATTTGTAATAATTGAGATCATATATACAGCTGACTGACAGCCAGATTTCTTGCCCTACGTCTCCACGGGTGTACGTGCACACATTCCAGGAGTCTTTTTGCATTAGATTGCTGTCATATTATTATGATTCAGGTAGGGTGGTCCACAGCATAAGAATAAGCTGAGCAAAAGCCACGTAGCTCAAATTCCTCTGTAGGGAAGGGAGAGGAAGAGTTGTGAGATAAGGAGACAGGTCTCAGATGCAGCGAATCGCCACCTAGAGCAGCCCAGGTATCGCCATTGACTGCACAGGAGTCACAGCAATCCTGTGGTGGATCGGGGAATGTGAACCAGTGTGTATTGGAGGATGAGAGTCAGAAAGGAGAGACACAGGAAGATGTTAGCCTGTCTTACCCTTGAACGGTTACGCGTGCTCTGCACGCCTCCCACCGTTTTGCTCAACCAACTGTAAATGACTCAGATGATGTGGCTTTAACTCCTCTTTCTTGGTTGATGCTCAGAAGGTCTGGGGACCTTTCTGGAGTCATTAGAGTAATGTTTCCACAGCATGGAGACTACATGCCAAACCTTCGCCACCTCTTAGGGCCTCCTGTGAGACTCCGCTGGGTAAAGGGAGAGTGGCAGGAAGCCCTGGAAGGGGTCACGTAGAGTACTATGTTGGCCGCTGCCCAAGAATAAGGCAGAAATCTCATATCTCACCACTAAACACATTTTATACCATGTCCAGGCCAAAAGTATAAAAACCTCACCCTGCAGAGTGATGGATATATAGAGAGAGAATGCCTGGAGGCCCACGCTCTT